ATAAGTCATGTATAAAAAATATTTTATAATATTTTTCATGCATGAATATATATAAATATATATAAACATACATAAACATATAGGATGAATCAAAGTTGAACCAATTTTTTAATCTATGAGAAAATTATAAAATCAGATCGAAAAATATTATGTAGTAGTAACTTATTAGTATTATATATACGAGTTCTGCAAGTTGTAACATACAATCTAAGCGAGTTAATTGAGATATAAATTATTTTTTTTATTAGGTTTGGAATTAAAAATCATAACATTATAAACTTCAAGCAGCTGCAACTTCGTTAAAAGTGGTCAAAATTTAAATTAAAAAATATGGTTTTAAAGCTTAAGATCTCTACCTTTGAAAAATTTTTATGTCTTTTGAGTTTTTAATTGAAACTCTAATGAGTTCCGTAATTTGTATGTATTACTAAAATATGTATTTATGTATTATTATAAATTATTGCGAATTAAATAAAAGAATCATTGTGACTTTAATTGCTCATAATTCCGTGAAAAATTATCGCATCGTATTCACAATTCACAAAAGTAGATTCTTAAAGCTGCAACTTTGCTCTATTGAATGGTAATTGAATGAATAATTGTCAATTTTTCTTAAACATAAGACATAATACAAATGAAGTAGTGCTATAAACTTTTGTTTCTGATACTTAAAGATCAGTACATATGATTTATTATACTACCAAATTGCAATTTTATTCGAATTATGAGTTCTTTTTTACAAACAATAGTCTGAACACAATACTTGTGCAAATATATTTGCAAAGTATGATATTTGTTATTTAGATATATATCTTTTATAATTCTAAAAAAATAATCATTATTTACACAATTAATATATAAAAGAATAATAAAAATTAATTAGTTATTTAAAATTGAGATTTGGACTAAAAATTGGAGAAGGATTTTGGAATCTAAATTAAAAATTATAAGCATATATATTTATTCGCTTCCTGAATGTGATTTATGTATATATTGCGTTATATATTTCAATAATAATTATTAAATTTTCCTCTGCTTTTTGGGAGGTTGTGCGATTAATACTGAGTCGTTACTTGTAAATAAGTATTTATTAGTGACATTGTTCGATGTTAATTTGTCACCTAAAAAAAACAAAGAAAACTAATTGATCCATCCAATAATTATTAAAATATATATTTACATCAGACTCTATATATATTCTGCATTTTATTTTGTAAATTCTATATTGACAGTAATGTCAATATAGAATTTACAATATGACAGTATAAATATTTTACATTGCCGTTGTGTAGGTTTTTATTTATGGTAAAAAAGTTGGCAATGATAATATAATGATATTGACACTATTATCGTAAAAGTAAGTATAGAATTTTAGCTTCTTAAAATATTTTATTCTTATTTTTTTCTATTATAAACTTTGAATATAAAATAGAAGAATAATATTTATTCCTTATTCCTTAATTTTACATACACATGTGCATGTGTACTTATATATAAGGCTGGCATATATTTGAAATACTTTTATTTAAAACATACTATTTGCAATACAAGCTTATTTTGTATTTTTAATTTCAGCGGATTAAAAGTATTACATATTTTACGTATTTAAAATCGAAAGATTAAAAGCTTTTGTATGTTGTAATTCAAATAATAAAGGTTGATCAATGTTAATATTTGAAATACAAAATATTTTCAATTTTTTATTATTAATACTGAAATACAAAATATTTTCATGTACTCCGAACAAATACAAAATACAAAATATAATTGTCTTATCAATACTGTTTTTCAAATAAAAGTATTTCAAGTACATGTTAGCCCTGCCTGTATGAATTTATAAAGTCAAATATAATTAAATATTCAATAAATTGCAATTTGGTCCTTCATCCTAACCTTTTCTTTATACATGTCACAATGTAAATGCGTGATCGGTTGATGTATTCACCAGATTAGCGCTTTACGTGATATAATGCACGTATGAGGAAGTGGCATAAAACAAGACGAGCAGCTGTTGTTCGCGTGATCCGTTCATATATATGATGTGCGTACTTACGCATACACGCACGATGTCAGTCCACCGGCCCAGCCGGCGTATTAAAATGTTCCCAGAAATATTATCAAAAAACCTTTCTATTGTTAATTTAAACTTTTCGATAGAATGTTTCAGATATCTACGAATTCAGAAGTTTAAATTAAAAAAATCAGATTTATTAGATTTAGAAAACTAGATTCAATATAGAGAATCAGATATTTGTATGTACGTATGTATGTACGTGTTTGTGTGATTTGGCGACGTGCGCCGGAATAAGCGAACATGCGGTCGTACGAGTCGCGATCGACCAATACGAGATCACATCGCCAGCACAGTGATTACGTATACGCAACTCGTGTCCACGTGGTTGCGTGAGATGTGGTAAGGTGCGTGCGCGAAGATGAAGCTATGTTACACGATATTTCTTTCGGTATTTTCGTTTAAAAATTCCCGTGGGGAAAAATTAACGGTAGAAATATTTTCGAATAATTGTTATAGAGAAAAAAAAACAATGTTGGTCGAAGGAGGACAGAAAAACAAGAGCGACTGATCTCATAAAAAGCAAAATCATAAAAATATTTTTAAAAAACGTAACGTTCTTTTTATTACGAGCACTTCTGATCAACACTTTTTTCTATTAGTTATTAACATGAAATACAAGCGCCACGTATATACATAAACGTGGCGCAATATGTGTGAATCATACTGAATAATGATCGTATGATGTGTACAAGAGGTCAGCGAGCATTACCCGAGTGTTATTTGCGTGAACTATTATACTTGGGTTCATGCTATGAAACAGATGATGCAGAAAGCGGCATATTTGAAAAACAGCGTAGATTACAGTCTGAATATTTTATATCGAATCAATTCTCAGTTAATAAATTCGTGAAATTACAGGATTAAGGGCCGATTGTTCCTTTTGATAAATTTTATCTATGAGGTAAATCTGATAATTCACGCATGTGATTTTTTTTTTTTTGGGGTAATCTTGCTACTTACCCAATAGAATTATCTAAAATTTTCCAAAAGATGAAATAACCAATCCTAAATGACTTACGCTGAGCTGTTTTGTAAATTTCAATTCATCTCACTGTTTTATTCTCTTATTCTTTTATACTCTTACTCTTTTAGTCCTTATTGTTTATCCAATAGATAAATTACCACATAATTTATCTGAAGGTGGAACAACCGGCTTTTATTTACGTATTTATTAATTAATTAATTATTAATGAAATACTAATCGGATCTTTTTTTTCAATGTTCGTTATTTCAGAGTACATGAAAATAGTAATAAAAAAATATTTGTTTAAATTACATAATTGAAAGTAGTTCGCCTTTAAAAAGCGCGAAGCAAGTGGTCTGTAGTTCAGTACTGCTAATATAAACGTGCGGTCGATATTTGTCGGAAGAATAGAATGCGCGCAGTCTGGTCGGTTTCCGTCCGTCACCATTCGCTAGTCTCAGGTGGCGAGAGTGTGCGAAGCGATTCCATTGGTTCAGACGATCTCAGCTGAGGTCTGATCCGAGCCGACCGACAGTTTACCCATACCGTATCAGACGCAACCCGATTATTCTCCCCAATCCCTGCTATAACTGCCGATATAACGTGATTCTCAACAAACTCGGTTGGAGAGAGGGAAAAAAAGAAAAGACAGAAGATTTAGAAGATCTTAAGATCAGCGCGTTTCAAGCCTCTTGAAACGAACCGTCAGTTTCGTGTATCTTTTCTTTCGTCGATAAATGTTAATTAGAAGTGTTTCAAGTTGAAAAACAGGACTTTATTTAAAAAGGTATCGCAACTTAAATTGTTTGTATTAAAAAAGAAAAAAAAACTTGTTTAGGAAAAACTGATTCTAAATTAGAAAAACGGCCCAGTGTGTGTGTGTGTGTGTGTGTGTGTGTGTGTGTGTGTGTGTGTGTGTGTGTGTGTGTGTGTGTGTGTGTGTGTGGTGTATGGTGTGTGTGTGTGTGTGTGTGTGTGTGTGGTGTGTGTGTGTGTGTGTGGTGTGTGTGTGGTGTGTGGTGTGTGTGTGTGTGTGTGTGTGGAGTAATAATAAACGTATATGACGTACGCATGCGTACTCAGGTCGTTTAACTAAACGACAAGATAAAACGCGAAGTTAACTTGCTGAGATCTATTATTCGATCAGCTGTTTTGTGAAAATAGACCTACCCTACTGTTTAACGACGCGATATCTGTTTTTTATTTATCGCGCACTCTCTGAACTAATGCACACGATGCAAAATGAGTGCAAAAATAAAAAGCAGACCTGGAATCGGCAATGTGGAATAGAAGCAAAAAGTCAAGGAAAAATAAACAATTGATAACAACAATTCATGATAAAAATTAAAATCGGAGTACAGACTTTTGCATAACGTATACAATGCATGAAGAATAAAAAAGTTAAACCAATCAGAACTTTTTATTTTATGGAAAGGAAAAAAATGAAAAATTTTGTATATTTTTTTATGCATTATGCATTATATAAATCTCTGCTCCAAATATGAATTAATAATAAATGAATTTCTTTTTTTTATCGATATATGATTGACTTCAAACTGCATAAAAAAAAGAGATATGAATATGAAGATACATATCTATATTTGGCAATGTTAACATTGAGAATTATGTGTAGCGAATATTAAACACATGAAGGTCAATTATTAATGTTAAGGCATTTTTCATTTTTCTTTAACAAATGATGATAAGCATAAATGCAGAACTGACTCATACTCTAATTTTTTAAGGCAAATTAAAATTAATGTGCATTTTTATATTTTCATATTTTGTTTTTTATATTTCAATTTTTCCTTTTCTTTTCTATTTATATTTTTTGTGAATTATGTTTTTTTCAATATTATACAATAAGATATTATATAATAAGATTGATATAATGTTGATGTATAAGCTTTTAAGACAAGTTGTCGATAAAAACCTACTTGATTTTACATATTATCTAAAAAATTATTTATTAGAATGATTTTACAATTTATTAGATAACATTGCTCCTAATTAATTTTTTTGTATTAATTAATGCATTGCATCAATTCTAATTAGTTCTCGAGCGACATACTCATATGTCTAACAAGATATGCATATTATTTTTATTAAGTTTCCTTCTTCATAAACAGAAAAATAAAAGTAATATTTAATAAACTATTACGAGATACTATAATTTATTTTCACATTCAGTAACAATAATTATATTAGGATTCTTGAATTTTAAATTCAATACAAAAAGATAAATAGATTAATGAGAGTCAGCAACGATAAACGGCGAAATTATTTAGTGAACAGTCAATGCTCAGATATTAGATTAGATTTTCTTTATTTTGAACGTTATTTTCATATTAACGGAGAAATCACGATCGTCTTAAGGAATATGAAACTTGAACTATTGCATACAAATTCATAATCACGCAATGTTTTTTATCAGAAATATGAAAATCAGCAAAGTCATTGAAATTATTAATTTAATAAGTGTCTTGTTAGCAAACAGTAAAAAAATATTTTTTATTTCCGTAACACAGAAACTTATTATGATTTATGCACATATCAAATCATGAATTATGATATTGAATGTAATGATCATCAAATTTATGTGTATGCATAATGTATCGCACGTATTTAATACTAAAAAATAATTCTACAGCTGATTATAATTTTATAATTTGCGATCATCAAGAAATCATTTCATAAATCATCTCTTTGAAAATATGCTAAGTTAAATGAATTGATGGTTGCTGAATGTAATTCATTACACTACATTTATTCTAACAACTTCGGAGATATTATTAATAATTTCTGAAGAAAATTAATCTAATCAATTACAAGTTTATTTTTCTTGATTATCAACAAATTCGATCAATAAAGATATATGTAGTTAGAAATCATATAATAATGATAAAATTTTTGATATTATTACTTAGAGATAATAATATCATTGTATTAGATTGATCGATGTGCTATGTGAAAAACACAGTTGACCTCAAATGTTTTACAGCCTTGGCAATGATCGAGCTCACTCGAATGAGTCGAGGTCGTTCTTGAGGCCATGTCCTCAATTTTGTTATAGTCACATCTAAAATATGATGACACTGCAGTCACTATCGTAAAGATTTTGATTAATGAATTATGAATATTCAATGTGATAAATGAATTATATCGTTCTTTAAATACATTTTAAATACGATGTAACTCATTTATCGTACTCAGAGAAAAATTTAACAACTATTAAATTAATAACTCTAATAATTTAAGTACTTGCAACTAATTTTACAAAATAATAAGAACTAAAGTAGTACTGAAAATTATATTTTTATAGTAGTATATTATATTTCTATAGTATTCGGTACTACTTTAGTTCTTATTACTTTTTAAAACTAATTACAAGTATTTAAGTTTTAGAGTTGTTACAACTATTTTTTTTCTTTTAGTGCGCGTTTCTTTGATAATGAATAAAGTAGATTCATTTAAAACATAAGTATAATAGCATATTTTTTAAGCTTAAAGAAAGTATAAACAAAATTGTATTTATAATTTCTACTGTTTACAAAAAATATTAAAAGAACTATGTTATTATGATAATCTCAATTTATCTATTATATATCATGCACTTGTTATTGATAATATCAAGTTCATAATTGGTAAAAAATTACATCAAGCTCAAGTTTCTATTGTTTTATATTTTTTTGTCTTTTAAGAAAATTCATTGAATGCACGTATAATTGCATTGAAAAAAAGCTTTACTTTATTTATACGAATTTTATACGTTATTGCTTTTGTCTCGTTTAAATTATTTCGATTGGAGTGTTCGATAGAAACTTTATGACCGGATTATTTGGGATTATTAAGAGGATCAGCTGATCATCAGAGCGATTCCGCGCAAGCGACTGTCGACAAAAATCCCGAATGTCGGCGTCCCGGTGCCGCGCAAGCCTGCGCCTGGAGGACGTACATCGAGGATCCAGCTGGCACTGCTGGCAGTCGATAGACGGTCCTCGACCGGGCATTGTCGAAACCATCACGATCTTGTGTTCTACTTTAATATTCGCGATCGCGGGACATAGGCGGATCCTCCAGTTCGAGTTCGTACATCCACGTGCGTTTGACGGAATTGAGGACGACTTGCGGGATTGCAACGACGAGCATATACGAGCTTCGTATGTATGCACGTCGGTCTCGATAAATCAGCCGATAATTCCGAGATTGTTAATTGCTTTTGCATTTGACTCGAGGGAAGGTCGACTCCAAAGTAATTAAGATAATTAAAACAATCATTAAAATGAAAAAATATTTCTAAATTTCAAATTTGTACACGTGATTCAAATAGAAGAAGTCTATTTTTCGTACGGCAGCGAGAAACTGTACTCCGTTATTATTTTATAATATAGAAAATGCCCTCGTGTGAGTAGTATTTCGGTCTTTGCGGTTTCACTAGCATCATCGATGAATCGAGTCTAATCATGTATCTATCCGGGTCTCGCGATGCAAGTTTCTAACTGGGATAATCGAGATGTCAGCTGGTAGCTTTATGTGACGACGTGGTGAAAGTCTTACAGGTGTCATTTCCTCAGTATCACTGTCGCCGGGCACCGGTGCCAATTAGCAGACGAGCCGGTGCGCTTGTGCATGTATGAATGACATAATCGCAATTGCTTTTCAGGTCATGCATTACCTAGAAAGTGTCTGCTGATATAACTGTTTCATGTATCTTTAACGTGTAATTGCGAATCGCAATAATTGTAAAATCAAATTTCTAGTAAACGGTTCTAGTAAAAGCAATCAGATACTCCAGTAAATTAGAAACAGTCAATTAGAAAGAGAAAGAAAATGAAATTAAAAGGAGAGAAATAGTACATATTGTATGTATTGTATTTGTCCCACATAAATTCGAATTTGCTGTTACTGATTTTACTTTTATCGATCGCTTTTGCGTCATACGTCATTGCTATTTGTTCCATGAAGTTTTGATTCTAGAAGAGTATTGATAATTATGACGTTGTTATACGAGTTTATTATATGAGTTCCATCAAAGCCGTGTGTGCAAATATATTATCGTCGCGGCGGTCTTGTCAAAGGAGCTCTATTCTTAACATTGATTTTATTTGGAAATAATTTAAATTTAACTTAAAAACATTTAGCTAATTTTAATTTTTTAATTTAATTTTAAAAATATGATCAATACCTTTTTTAGTATACTTTTGTAATCTTCTAAAACTACAAAACATTGGAATTATATTAATAATACGCTAGTATTTTTTTGATTTTTTAATACATAGAAAAATATATTTGTACAAATTTGCACATGAATATGTATTAATAAATCCCAAGATTCGCTTCGATCGAAAATAGAATTTTTTCTCTTATTTAATTTTTATCCTTATATTTTAAACAATATTTTAAGCAATATTGTAGCAATATAAATAATTAAATACTCAGGACAATGATATAATGAATAAAAACTAAAAGAAATTATATTATCAATATAAATGATTAATGAATAAAAAATAAGTTATTAATTAATACAACAGCGATGATAGTGCAAGATTTGATACAATAAAATTTTTTGCAAGAAACATATAATACGAATTTTTATGTCATTAATAGACAAGGATGGCGCCGAATATAACAAGCACACCAACGGGAGTGTTATTCGAAGGTGAGACTCTTGGCGAGCCGCAACTAATTGAAGAGCCCAAGGAAAAACCTAAATATGTTCGACGTATCGTTTGGAGAAATGTGGTGGTGTTCTCGTATCTACATCTCAGCGCCCTTTACGGAATTTATCTTTCATTCACGTCCGCCAAATTGGCAACCGTCATTTTCGGTAAGTGGTCCAATTTTATTAAGTAACGTAACGTATTGCTTGCATAATAATTATTTGAAATAATACTCTTGCTTAATAAAACAAATAAATTATATCAAAATATTATTTGATTGATCGCATGATAGACTGAGTTTAACTAATATATTTGACATACTCATCGTAGTAGACTTTATTCACTTTTTGCACTTAGACGAAGCTCTTTAACGCAAACAATTAGCGGAATGTCAATTAGATCGGCTAAAATATTATGTGTCCGACATTACTTGCAACTCTTTTGAAAGAGATTAAAAGCATACCTGTTGACGCAAATTTTTTTATAATATCATTTAAGTAATGCGCAATCCATATCTCGTCGATTAATTTTCTGATGTCGTCGATCAATTCATAGTTGAAAAATGTAAAATTATATTTTTATGTAAACTTTTTAATGTAAACTATAAAAATAACAACATTACGCATAACAATTTAACAGTTTTATTTAAAATATATTTTTAAAAATTTTCAAGAATTTATATTTAAAAATGTAGTTTATATTTTATAAATAAATAATATGTTTGTCAAATATTTGATTTTTTATAAATTACAATATTTTGATTTTTTATTTTT